CCCCAAAACCCCAAAACCCCAAAACCCCAAAACCCCTAAATGACAAAACATATTCGAGATAATGAGAAGTATTTTATAATAGAATAAGCTGATGATTCTAGAAAATTATTTAAAGATTACTTAGCGTTAAGTTTTTAGGTTAAAATAAACTGTATAAGCAAGCAAAGAAGCATGCTTCATTATATATGCTAACGAAGAATCATACTCACTTCTTCTTGTTGTTCATAAAGATAATGAGGAATCTCTCAAAGAGGATAATTGTATCCAAATAGATTCCAATACTTTATGAAATTGGATCATATCTGGCCTTTGACTTTGCATTGTGGATAATCTTTTGAGTGTCATAGAGGACAAAAGCACTGAAAAGAACTAGACCTCCATACAACCAAATATTGTACAAAGCTGGGCTTGGCCAGAACATACTTGCAAGGCTGATACCAATCATACCAGCACATCCCATCCCGAGAGCTCCACCCCATTTAAGGAATTACTCACTTGGGGCATTATAGGCAACTAAACCAAGTCCTCCAACTGTCAAACCAGTTGCGAACATAGCATCGTAGACGATTGGAAGTCCAGCCATACTGATAAGTGGGACCATTGAGAGACCCATTGAGGCCATAAATCCTCCCCAGAACAAGTGCTTAAGGACTGGATTTGTGTGATAGTCAGTCATTTGAGTTGCAATCAAAAGACCTAAAGAACCGAAAAGAAGCATCCATGGATGGTTTAGAGCGAACATTGAGTTTCTGAAGGCGCCTACTAACCCTCCAGTGAGAGCAAGTCCACCACCAAAATACATAAGAGTTTTTCTGATTCTATCTTGGACAACTGGGTTGAAGAAATTCATTTGCTGATTTCCATATGATACTTGAGTTCTTCTCAATGAATGTCCTTGGTACATGAGGTAAGCGAGTCCAGCAGTACCAGCTCCAAGAAGTGCCATAGATCCAAAGCCTGGACCACCACCCACACTTGAACTGAACATTTTTCTTGGTGTATCTTTAAGGAGTGACTTTGATGACTGAACGACCTTATTTCTTAGTTGAAACATTTATTTAAACATCTTAGGAGTAAAGATAACCAGATATTTTATTATAATTTAGTTAAATTTTTATCAATTTATTGCCTGACAAAATGATTTATAAAATCATACAACCAAAATATACTCATCACATTCTTTGGGGTTTTGGGGTTTTGGGGTTTTGGGG